TGTCTTTCCTTTATTGAAATTTGAAAATAGATTTTTATTTTTTATTTTCAGAAACCGATAACTAAAATGAATATTTTCTAAACTCTGAAAACAATAAATCATTCACCAAAAATGAAAACGCATGCAGCCAGGGGTTGTTCACTTATGGTTTTAGCGTTTAAATTTTCAAAGAATAAAAAAATAAAATAAAATATCGAATTTTTAAATTAAAATAAAAAATTGAATTTTAATGATTTGAGAACGCATTAAATAACAGATATCTGATTTTTTTTATGCATAACTGTTAAAATACTTTATTACAATTATCATAATTTTAGAAATGAAATCCAGACGACTTATAAAAAATCAAATAAACAACTCAAAATTTCTTTCTGACTCTGATAATGAAATCTTTCAAACGGAGAAAACAATAATTTTTTTTTTTTTGTTACACCACCTTTTAGTCAAAAGGAGAGAAAATAAGACTATTCATTTGTGATAACAGAAAATGAAAACAGGTGTCAGACATGTATTTCACATTTTATAAGAGAAGAAAACATAAAATCAAGAATGGAACCAGTCAACCCCTAAATTTTCCGACGAATCTGTTTCAAAGGGAGATACAACATACTAAAAATAATAACTTCTTAAAACATGTAGCTACTCCAACGCGCGACACAATTTTCCAAGGGAAACCACTGTAAGCTTATCATTGCTAAAAAAATCATAAGCAACTACTAAACAGAACTCTTCCACACAAAAATTCCATATAACAACATATCGTCCCAGCAAACCTAATACTACCATAAAAAACTTTCACAATGCAATTATTTTAGAAATAGAAACCAGATGATTGGCATATTATTACCTCCTTCTGTGCTTTTCTTGAATTTGGTAGTTCAAACATCTTTGAAGAAATGATGGCTACATCAGACAACATTGCTCAGTTAGAAACAAGAAACAAATAACAGAAGAAACTATCAATATGCAAAGTGAAGTGAGAATGCAAAGGATCATGCAGGCATATGAGTATGTGCAAGGTGCAAAAGCAGCACAATTGCACTAAGAACCATTCATTTCCACAATGGTTTGTGCAATCAAGAATCTATTCCAAAGAAAGAAAAAGAAAATGGTTCAAACCACCAAGCTAATTTGAATTGGACCATCAACTTCTCTGGTACAACATTGCTGTAAGCAAAAATACAATCTCTATATAGAGAAAACATAATGAGATGAAACAAAACATGGAAATATTGACAGATCAAAAGCATTACACTTCCTATAGCACGTCGTTGAAGGATGTTGTAAAATTCTACAGGCTTGCAATAGATAGAGAGACTCTCTTCAGCAGCAATTTCCTCCTCTGCAGTTAAATGCGCACGAGAGTCTTCGCGGCACATTTGATCCGTGCTTCTAGAGTACCTGCAGTAGCAAACAAGAAATTCTAACGATGAACTCACATAAAAGGATGAGATTCTCTAAACTCCCATGATGAAAAAGTCCATTACATTCATAAATACATAAATAACGTTTTACACCAAATATTCAAACCCCCCTTCATATCCAATGAAAATTTCCCATTATAATTCTAAGATCAGAAAACAATACTAGTAAACCGGTAAGGATAGAGTATTATACAATCAAGCATCATAACCATAGCTCGAATGAGTTTTCGAATTTCCAACTATTACTCTGGGGTATTCATTTGCATCAGGTATAAAGAAACCACCCAAACCATACCAAACCCATCAAAGAAGAAAATGATAACTAAAGTTAGTAAATCACAAAAGCTACAATCTCCACATTCATTCACACGCATTTTCAGTTTACAAAGAATATAATTTAAGCAAATAACGAGAATAACATAACAAAAGTAACAAAACAGCGTCGTCTTGAGGAGAACATACGAGGAAGTTTCACGTGCCACCAAAGGAATGCCCGGCATTATTGCTAGAGAGCATCGGAATATGATTTCGCAGCCATTCAGTAAGCCAAACCAAACACCTAAACTAAAAAAACAAAAAAATTTAAAAACAAAAATAATGTTTAAAAAAAAAACTCGCAACAATTCTTCAACTACATATAAAATCAATTACTCAACAGAATCCATTAGTCACAAAATAAACGATAAAATCAGAACACAAATGAAGAAAGCAATAATCGAATTAAAAAAAAAAAAAAGGACCTCGTCGAGTTAGAAACCCTAAATGTTAGAAGAAATTGTTTAAGATAAATGCAAGACGTTTGAAGCTTTTTGTTTACCAGAAGTTTCGTTAGGAATTGGGTGCGTTTTAAGAGAGAGAAAGAGAGAAAGGTGATTAAAACGCAGTTACCGAGGCGGGGTTGTTGGGTTCAGCACTTTGAGGTTGAGTCGAGGTCTCTAGCAAAAAGCACGTAAAGCATTGGCAGCTACGATTCTCTGCGGTTAATTGAAGGCGTTACTTTTTAGTTTTTACAGTGGACTGCTTCTGTTTGTCCATACTTTCTTCACAATTTTTTTGATTTTTTCTCTGGATGGATTGGAGATTAACATACGCTTGTTTATACAAAGATTGGGCTGCACTTGGTCCACTTGGACATAGGGACGGTACAAAAACCTGGTTCGGGTCGATTATGACTGGCCGGATCAAAACCAAGATCCTGAAAGATCAAACTGTCTGGATGACTGGACAGATTTATATTACTGGAATATTAGGGTCTATTTATTTTATTATTTTAGATAGAATTTTAAGAATAATATTATTAGGAGGTAAAATTTAAAAATTCATAAAAAAACCCCCTAGGTTTGCTAATTTAATAAACACCCTAATATATAAAATATTGTAAAACGAAAAAAACATCCCCACCATCTGCAATGTCAAATTCTGACTACCACCGTCAGAATCTGGTCGAAAAATTGCATAACAACACATACCAGTCGGATATGGCAAGTATGGCGTCGATATGGCATTTTTCGACCAGATCCATACAGCCAGATGTGACTGTCGACGACCGAAAAAGGCCAAAGAAGTCCATCTTTGGTTGTCGTTATCGGTCAACGATAGACAAGATTTGGCCGTTAGCGACGGCCAAAGATATGGCCGTTGTTGTCAGTCAATGATGGCAAAGATTTGGCCGTCAGCGGTGAATTACTGGCCAATTCTGGTAGTGGTATAGGCCGTTGTGACAGATTCTGGCTACCACCAACGGTGGTTACCGGAATCTGGCAAGTATGGGTCGGTGGGGGTATTTTGTTAATTTTTAAATTTTTTTTTGGGTATTTAATGAAATTAATAAACTTAAGGAGTCTAAAAATAATTAAAAAATATAGTAATATTTTTCAAATAATATGTCAAACAATACTTTGAGAATATGGGTAGAAATAGGGAACCAAACGCACCCTTAAATATTAACGAAATAGTATCTACACATATTACATAACGAAATAGTATTTATACATATTTTAACAGCAATTAATTTTTTTAATGCTAATTATTTATGGCATTTTATAGTATTTTCTTTAAATGAAAAAAAAAAATAAAAATCATGTAAAAAAATTTGGGCCTGTTTGATCTGTGAATTGAAAATAAGGACACCCTTCAAAATTTTGAGTCATATTCTTACAATTTTAATTGCAAAATAATTTATTCCTTAATAAATTATAATATAGTTAAAAGTAACATAATGTAGGCTTAGTTTGAAATTTGTTGTAATTTTTCTTATAATCATTTATGTGTAAACTTGAAGAACAATTAACTTTAGATAAAATCTATAATGTGTTATTGTTTTGCTTAATTTTAAAATTACTTTCGCTTTTGGGAGGAGAGATATAACTTATATAAAAAGAGCTAAAGACAAAAACTAGGTATTTTAAAATAATTTTTTCTATTATAAAAACATAGTTTATTTATTTATTTTAAATAAATAAAAAAGTTTAAAATCAAGAGAATATGAAAACTGACCCGGAGTTGTAAACTAATTGTTACCGATAAACCACCGATAACAAGTAGAGCAATACTGCCGGCACCGGTAAACTATCAATAGTAAATGAGATAATACCGCTAACACCATAGATATACTTACCTTAAATATAATCATTTTCTGATATATGGTTACCAAATAATTATTAATCCATAATAATAGAAATAATAATCAGAAATATTAATATATAAACATACCATAAAATAATATTTCTGGTTCAATACAAGTAATAATGGATAGAAGTAGAAAAGAATTAAATTGGTTGACAAAAATAACTCCCAATTATCATAAAAGCTTTCTGTAAACTCAATATTATAGTTGGAAAGATATCCAATATGATTTTTGATATTGTGTCTCAATATGGAAGTATAAATCAAGTTGAAATTCTTAGAAAATAAATAAAAAGAAATTAAATCCCATAAATCTACTCTTATCATAAAAGATTATCAAGAAACTCAATAATGTAATTGAGAAGAACTCTAAGAGACTTTGGTGGAGGAAGACATATCTTCAAATTCTTGGAAATTGTTTTTAAATAAATATAAAATTATTTTTGCATTATATATATATATATAATAAAAAAAAAATAATAAAAAAAAAAAAAAATACAAAAAAAAAAAAAAAAAAAAAAAAAATTAAAAAAAAATAATAAAAAATATATAAAAAAATTAAAAATTAAATAAAATAAAAAAAAAAAAATTAAAAAAAAAAATATTAAAATTATATAAAAAATAAAAAAATAAAAAAAAAAAAAAAAAAAAAAAAAAAATAAAAAGGTTTAATTAATTTTATTTGAATTTAGTGTTAATCAACAGATGATGTATAGCTGGTTTCTCCAGTTAAAGCAAATCTGAAAAATCCTAACCAATTATATCAACTCCCAAAAATGTGTAAAAACTGGAGGCAGATAAGACATTAATATCATGAACAAAATCTTTGCTGTTTACAGTGGATACGTGTGTTTACTTGGAAGGCAAGAAGAAGCCTATAAAAACTCTCAAGATAAGAAGAAAGTAAAACCTTGGACTTTATCGAAACACTACCATTCATCAGTTTTCTCGATGGCCAGAGAAACAACCAGAAAATGTTCTCACTGTGGGAACATTGGCCATAACTCAAGAACTTGCAATGGCAAGGGATGTTTTAAGCTTTTCGGTGTTGAACTTTCTGATCAGAATCAGGATCAATCCATTAAGAAAAGTGCGAGCTTTGGAAATTTACAGTCTCTTTTTGCGGAGCCACACAACTCCCATGGAGATGGTGACGGTGATGGTGATGATGGATATCTCTCTGATGGACAGGTCCATTGTAAGAGAGCCAAGACTGCACGTGAAAGGAAGAAGGGTAATATTTGAGATCTATTTATATGATTCTATTTGTATGTTTGTTGGTTGGCATTCAATAACCCATTACTTCCCTTTGTTTGAGATCTGTTATTGATGGATATAGGCTTTCTGAGATAGAAGGGTAATATTAATATTCTTCTGGGTTTATTTATCTTACTGTGATGTGATCAGGGAAACCATGGAATGAGGATGAACATGTGAACTTCTTAGCTGGATTGAAATTGCTGGGGAAAGGTGATTGGAAAGGCATTTCAAAGAAATTTGTACCCACCAGGACCCCAACTCAAGTTGCAAGTCATGCACAAAAGTATTTTCTTAGACAGGGCTTAAGCGATAAGAAGAATCGAAGAGCCAGTGTCTTTGACATTCCTTATTCAGAATCTGTAATCTCTTTTTCTTTTTCTCATGCATTAATTGACGAAATACATTACATGTCTCATTTCTTGCTTGAATAAATCTACAGGCTCCAGCTCCTCCTAAAGATTCATTGCCTCCGATTTCAGAGAAACCAGTTGCTGAAACTTCATCACAAGTAATCCATGGCCATTTCAATTTGTTTTTACAACATTAATTTTCTTTGATTGTGAGAATATAGTTGAAATGGGGGGTCTTGTACTATTACAGGTAAATGCACCACCATCTTCAATTATGCCATTGAAGAGTACTTTTGAAATGCCATTGCAGGTAGTTAAAAGTCTTTATACCAACAGAAATATTTCTTTGTTCTGTAATTTATTCACGAGTTCATTAATAACATTGGTTTCATTTTATCTTACAGGCTAATAACTTAAGTCAGATTGCAAATCAATTCCCAAATCTCTGCTTGAATGCTGTTCCAATTGCTCTAACTTCTAGCAATCCGAATTACTCGGCTTTCCCTTACGGAGTAAGAACCCATTTGATCAATGTGAATTTTATTTTAATGGTTCTGATTATGTAAATTAATGACTCTTTTTGATTCAAAATATATGAATTTCTCATGTTTACACAGCTGGAAACCCCTTGCAATGGTCAGAGGTTTAGAGGATTTCAGGCAATGAATTATCAGAGGCCGGGTTATGTCTACATGCCTCCTTGTGCACCACTTACAACCCACCACCCCTCTGGTATTCCTCCACCACCACATTCATCTCAAGATGCTCCAAGAACCTTCAAAAGAGCTTCTACAACTTCAACTACAAAAGATTCTTTGGAACTTAAAATTGGACCCCCTGAATCCCCGCAAAGAGCTGATCTATCTTCTGGAGCAATTCAAGTCGTATGAAAAAAAAAAAAAAATTTGTTTTTGCTTGTGTTTTCTGCAATTTTGTTTCAGATATGAGGATTAGATTAGACGGAAATTGAGTTTTAGTGTTATGCATAAAGTTGCACATTTTTGGGTGCATATGTTTTATTTTTTCATACTCTATTCCCTGTCCTATTTATTTTATTATTTGAGAAATACTATTTTATTTTTTTTTAAATTACTTTTAGTCTTTTACACCTCTTAAGTTCATTAATTTAATTAAACACTCCTAGAAAAAAAAGTTTAAAAATTAACAAAAACACCACCACCCACCCATAGTTGCTAGATTCTGGGTGTGGTTGCCGGAATATGTCACAACGGAGTAGAAATGACCGTAACTGGCTTGTAATTAGCTGATCTGGCCTTTTCCAGTTAGATTCACAGTGGATCTGGCCGTCAGCGACAGCCATTTCTTTGGCCGCTGCTGATGGTCAACGACGGTCATATCTTTGGCCGTTGCTGATGGCCAAATCTGGCCTTTTACGGCCGTCGACGGGTGGATCTAGTCGAAAAAGGCCATGTCGATGCACGACTAGCCAGATCCGACCGATTTGCGTCGTAACGCCATTTTTCGGCCAGATTCCGACTGTGGTGGCTAGAATCTGGCACTGTGGGTGGGTGGGGGTGTTTTTTTCATTTTACAAAAGTTTTATATATTAGGGTGTTTAGTTAAATTAACAAACCTAGCGGGTTTTTTTGTTAATTTTAAAATTTTATCTTGTAATAATCACCCTATTCAACTATCCAATATTATTCCCAAAATCCTATCCAAAATAATAAAACAAACGCACCCTTTGTTTCCATTGACATTAAAAAATACTAGCCCCTTGGGATTATTTATGCTTGCATTTTGATGTTTAATGTTCGGCATTCTCAGCAATTGAGCCCTAATTCCAAGTTTTAATGTTATCAATGGTGTCTCAACAAACTAGCTAAGATAGAATAAGGGCCAATTATCAGCCAGATTTCTATTCTCAATTGAATCTTTAATCTTCTTTAAATCCATGGCTTGGACTCTAACCACCGACTTTACATAATCCTGGATAGTTAAGGCATCTCAGTAATTCCTTTTGAATCTTCTCTCATTTCTCTCTATCCACAAAGAATGAATAGTAGAACTAAGTAACAGCTTCCTTAGAATAAACTTCAACTTGTTCTTCATCCATAAGTATTGCAATACCTTAGATCGCACATATGAAGGATACGGTTCCAAAATGGTCGAAGTGAAGCAACAATCAAATAACAGGTGGTTCAAAATTTCAATTCTTGCATTACAAAAGCAATCGATGTTAGCATGGATAAAAATATGCACCAATCCCTTCTACCTTGTTAAAGGTGGTCTTCATTACACAGCTGGACTTTCCATTTACTTAATATCCCACAAGGAGATTGCATGAATCACCATTTCCAGGGCATTAAACGATGTAGTATGTCACCAAATTATAAATTAACTGTTCGTTTAAATTACTTTTTGTTCAAATATGTCAAAGTTTATTAGAAATTTAAAATTTTATCGATATGATTTAATTTTAAAAATTTCCCACTTGTGTTTATTTCATTAATGATGTTTGTTAGGTTGAAAAACAAAAAGCTGTGGCAACGGGAAATGTTAAACCTGTAAGGACATGTTTGGTATGTTACTTTGTATAATACAATATAATATTGTTCTGTATTGCACATCATTATATAATACTGTTAGAATTATTTATAATTCTTATAAAGTGGACCATGTAAATTAAATATAATATAAGGTTTAGTAATAATTAATTTAATTGAAGAGCATATTGGTCTTTAACCGTTGATGGAAAGGTTGCATCAGTTAATAAAATAACTGATGTGTGTAGTTAATTAAATAACTGCAATTTAAAAGGTGGGTTCTCTCTCTATTTCCAATGTACGCTAAAATTTTTCTCTGTCCATCAAGAGAGTTTGCGATTATAAAAGGGAAGAAAGGGAGAAAAACGTTACCTATTTTTTATTCAATCAAGATTCAAGTTTTAATTTTCAAACTATGGAATCAGGTATGTATTTCTTTTATATATATGTGAAAGTTCATCAAGTTTCAAGATCCTATAACTTTATATTTGTACAACTTAGGGCATAAAAACATGAATTGATTATTGATTCTTTGCTTATGATAAGTATGCTTTTAAGTTTACAAATACTACTAAAAATATATTTATTTCAATATAATAAATCATTTTTTTTTTAATGAATTTTAACTTTATCTTAAAATTTAGATTAAATATTACACGATTTACAAAAAAAAAAAAAAAAAAAAAAAAAAAAAAAAAGGTTAAAGTCGTGAGAGAGAGTTGAAATTTTAACCACTTTGGGGTGCAGAGGTTGAATAAGGATTTTGAGGTATTACTAAAAGATTTTGAGTTCAATTCACCTCGTTGCTAATAGAGGTGACATTAGAGGTTTATCTGATCGTTAACTTTAGGGTCTATAGATTAGTAAAGTATACGTAAACTGGCTCAAGGTTTTCTTTTTGACAAGTGAGATGATACTTCTAACACCAGTTAATCAATGAATTGATATCCACGTTATATTCTAAATTTTTAATTATTTATAATTTTAAATCAATAATTTTAGGCACCAGGCTAACTTTATCATGAATGCAAAATTCATAAAACAATAAAACATGTTCTCAACTCTGCACTTATAAGAAGGTAATTTTTAATTTTGGTGATTCGAAAGGATATTGTCTTTGTAAAATTGAAATACAGTACAAAAGAAAGTATTAACAGATTTGTCAATTATCAATTAAGAAAGATTACTATCTATTTTCGTTGTTAATTCAGGAAAACTCATGTAATAATTAATTAAAGCACAGATCTACTTAGATTTTCCTAAAGAGAATTTAATTAAGTGAGCTAAAGTGAATACTAAAACAAAATCTTTTCAAAGAATAATATTAGTCTTACAAAGAGGCATACAAAAAGTCATACAAAGAGTCAAATCCAGTCCTTGAAAGATCTTTCTCTTTTTCTCTTCTTTCAAAGACTGTATTTGACTATTTATATAGCTCTTTGTATGCCTCTTTGTATGGCTAGTATTACTCCTTTTCAAATCCTTAGAGACATCAAATTTCCTTGTCCTTGGCGAAGTTGCAGAACAGGAAACAGCAACTCTATAAAAGCAACACAAGTTTGAAATGGAATCAAACTGATCTTGTAGTAATCTCATACTATTTTAGCTTCTCTCCTGATTTTCAATAAGATGGAGAACAAAAAGGGATGTTTCAAGCTTTTTGGTGTTATTATTTCAGAGCAAAATCAACATCAGAATATACAAAACAACGTTACCAATTCGAATTCGGAGACTTCTGCAGAAGACAAAGCTGAGGTTGAAGTGATTGAAGCTCATCCGAGGAAACGCAAAGCGGCACGTGCGACGCAAATTAAAGGTATATATGATTGACAAGATTTGTGATTGGATTGAAGACAGAGAATGGTAGTAGTGGTGACTTATATGTTTGTGTTATTTTGGATGAATTAATCAGTCAAGAGATGGACGGAGGAGGAACATCAAAAGTTTTTGAGTGGTCTGAAATATTGCGGAAGAGGAGATTGGAAAGGAATTTCAAAGTTCTTTGTGCCCACCAGGACACCAACGCAGGTTGCTAGTCATGCTCAGAAGTATTTTATTTCACAGGCTTCAACTGACCGGAGGAATTTTAGACCAAGCATCTTTGATTTGTCACTCAACCAATCTGTAATTTTTCTAACTCTAATTCTCTTACATTGATGCGTACGCTAATAAGGAATCATGGTATTTGTTTATTCATATTTTGGTATATAATTATGCTTACACAGAAGAATCAACAGAGCAGAAGTCGACTGTGTTTGATCATAAATCGTAGTGTTAATTGGTGTCAATTTATTATCAAACCACTTGTACTAAATTTCTGAATTTTTACAGGTACAACCTCCCAGAAAAGATCAATGGCTTCCAGGAAGTAGTAAAACGCCATCGTTGTTGCCGTCGCCGTCACCATCACCATTACCATCACCATCATGTGTCGAGGCATCGAGCCATCTGAGATCAGCTTATGCACTCATGCCTACACCCTGGCTGACTATGCATTTGCCATAGTTACTCCTTCAACTTCAACGCCTAACTATAATTGAAAGGCTTAATAGTAGATACAATTTTGTTTTGGATTTCTAAAGTTGTATAATCAGAATTAGTAATTTCATTATTCTGTTCTATAAATATACATATAGAGTTTATACAATTAATTGAGAAGTAGATTAGAAATAAATGCGTAGACTTTGGAATTGGACTATTTTTTAATACTATGGATAAACAAGATATGGAAAGAGATGGTGTTAAAGAAAAAAAGAAAGAAAGGTGAGCAACAAAAATTTCACGCTTTGACTAATTGACTTCAATTAATTTTTCATTCTTTTATTTAACAACACTTTGTTGCCGAGACATCTCTTAAGTGATAAACGTATATCGTTTAAAAGATGGTCATTTAATAAAGAGTTTCAAACTTCATGACTTTTTAATTCATTTCTAACTTGAACTAGTATTTTAATCGAATTTCTCAGTTTATTTGTGCTTGTTCGCGAGAATGGTGGAGTCGGGTCTATGGTAAAATCAAATCAAATATTGATTATCTATTTAAAATTTCATTACATAAATTATCATATCTTATCTAGATAATCTTATAAAAAATGTAAAGTCAATTGGTTGCCTTAAATATTTTTCTTTTTGTGTGACTATTATAAATATTAAATATTTTACGTATGTATCAAATTAACTTCATTCTAAAATTATCTATTAATGTCATAATCAAGTTTAATTGAGATATATATTAAGTTAATCTGAAATCCTTTTACGTCCCTCAAGGAGTAAATGTTTATAGTTATATTTTGAATGTTAAACATGTTTAACAAACATGAATATGGATATGAAATTACTTAAAATAAGAAGAGAAATCTAAAAAAAAATTAATTATTTATTAA